TTCTGGTGCGTAGCAGAATTTGTTGTCATCGCACTCGCCTAGCGAAGAAAGCTTCGCCTAGAGAACAATGTTGTTTCCAGACTCGCCTAGCGAAGAATCCTTCGCCTAGCGAAGAAACTCACCTCAGGCTCGCCTAGCGAACATGCCAGCGAACGTAGCAGAGTTTCGCGAATGTTGATCGTGTGCAGCGATGCCTTGATGTTTGATTATGTGATTTCTATGATGGATTAACCTGAGTATGACAGTGAGTTTTATGTGATGTGTACTTGATGACATGATTATTTCTATGATGTAATATGATGATATTACCATTGATTTTGATGAATTATATGATGACATGAGATATGATGATGAATGATGATGCACCTATGTTGTTATTATGAGAATAATTTGTGACGTGTGCATCATGCATTCATGTGCATCCGGACTTCGGTTCAAGACCTCGATTACTTTGGCTTCAATTCCATTGTGTGGATGTGAAGTGTTTTGATGTGTTATGGTTCTCTAGAAGAATCGATCCTATTGATGGGGATCTATGGAGGGTTGATGGTCCAGTGTCCATCGCGCTGTGATAATTGGTACCACATGCATTGAGTCTATGTTGCATTTGCATTTATGAGCCTTTTTGTATAAATTATGATGTTGTGGCCTTCGAGGCCTATTGAAGGATATGAATGTGTTGAATATGAATATGACGCCGTTTATATGTTGATTTTTATACATTGGTTATTATGAATTGCTTTACTCACCCTGCCTGTTTGAATGTTACCTCCGCGTGGGTAACATGCAGATGACCAAGTTTAGCCGTGGACGCTGGTGAGGAGTATTTTTGATGTTTTTGAGTTTTTAGCCTTTTAGTTAGCTTAGAGGGTCTTGCTCTGATATGTAATATCGGGTTGGGTTCTTCTGAGTTAAACTATATACTGTTGAGTTATTTTGCTTATTTTTCCCTGATGAGGAAACCTTGATTTATGCCTTTGAGTTCCGTTGCTTTGTGCGATTTGATTATTTTGAGAAAATCCGTTGTTTACGGAGCCTTGACCGATTTTGTTGATTTGGGAAATGTACGCCCTTTTGTGGTGGCTTTTTATGAAATTTAATAATTTACTCTGATTTCTGTGTTATTTTGCCATGCTAATTTGTGGGGTAGAAAAGGGTGTTACGCGGAGTCAGAGATAGCCATGAACTTCCTATTTCCTGGTAAAATAGAAGGAAAAGAGGAGTCATTATCGCTTCCACCACTATTATTGCTCTCGGAAGTAAGAGAACTCTCATAACTTTCAAACATTCCTAGTTTCACAAGTATGCAGTCAGCAGTCTCTTCAGGATGCCTAGCATTCCTATAACAATAGTTCCACGGGGTTATACGCTCATCACGAGTGAGGGGTTCAACTAGGTTTTCATCCTCATCTAAATTCTTAATATTTTCCATAAAGAAAAAGGAGTACATGTGTAGAATTTGAGCTTGAGCTCGTGGAGAGATAGAGGTCACCTAAGGTAGAATGAACAATTTGCAAACTTTGATAAGGAAGTGCGAAAAACGAGAAAAAAAATGGTTTTCATCTTCTTAAATAGGAGAAGAAGCTATGGGTGATCAAACCTCCTTAGGTTGTCAATCGGATGTGAAAGGTTTCGCACGTTTCAACATAAGCTTAAGGGAAAAGGCCAATTAGGCGTCCCAAGGTTAATTCATCATTGTTGGCATTAAATGCCTCGCACGTTTTTCCTTCAGCAGGTGCTTCGAGGTTTTCCAACTAACATGTGTCACAAAAAAGGACTCTATAAAGGCACCTGAGGGACTCACTTAAGTCTTGCCTTAAGGACTTAACTAAGTCTCACCTAAAGGACTCAACGTCTCGCCTGAGGGACTCACTTAAGTCTCTCCTGAGGGACTCACTTAACTATCGCCATAGAGACTTAACTAAATCTCTCTTGAGGGACTAACCTAAGTCTCGCTTGATGGACTCACTTAAGTCTCGCCTAAGGATCTCACTTAAGTCTCACTTAAAGGACTCAACTAGGTCTCGCCTGAGAAACAAACCTAAGTCTCGCTTAAGGGATTCAACTAACTTTCATCCCTAAGAATCGTCCAAAAACTTCGAGAAGTGAAGATAGAGGTAAAGCCCTAATGAGGCTCCTTAAGAAAGGCCGAAGATGAGTTGGGGTTTAAAGCACTTCAGCCTTTACGAGCCCCGCGTACTTTAGGGACTGCATAGCGGTATAAATGAGAAAGGTTTTGAGGGCGAGGCGAAGGGTACATGTGTAGCTCGCCATCCTTCCCATATTGCCCTATCATTAGTTTGAGCGTTCTCATGTCAGTTTGAGCACCATTTATCTAAATGTATCACCCTAATCCTTAATGTTTATGCTCATAGTGTGGAATGCGCATGGAACGTGTTGGGGTCAACGAATGTTACATAAGGGATCGTGTGATTCAACCTCACTTCCTAGGTTTCAAGGAATCAACCACTCATGCTTGGAGTGGTTGTTGAAATTATAGGTGGACTTAGTTTCAGACCCTAGGATTATAAATACATTAGTAGCATGATATTCAAGACATCCAAGAACAGAGAGAAAAACACAGATACAATAGTTTCTCACCTCATGTGAATTAGCTCTCAATACCCCTAACAACTCTAAAGTCTTTGTCAGAGCTTATCCACTAAGATTATCAAGCATTTGTACTTTTAGCGAGTACAATAAAAAATATGACCTTTATATTTTTAAAACTGTATTTTAACCGGTTTTTATCTTAAATATGTAGAAAGTTTAGCCACGCTCCATTTCTAAACTTAAAATATTTAATAAAAACTATTTTACATATTTCAAAATCATTATTTATTTTTTTAAACTTGCACAAATTTATATTAAAGATGGGGAAATATGACATTTGTAATTTTCAAGTAAAAATACATAAATAAAATTAACCATGGTCAACTTAGCCATAGTTGTAAAATGTAAAATAAACTTAAAAACTCAACTGTAGTTTAAAATTATAATTATTCTGCATTTTTAATAAAAACAACAATTAATTTTTTATTTTGTTGTAGTCTTTTTTAGGTCTTCTTTTTTGTTTAATTGTTTGACTTTTCTTCATCTAATTTAATCTCTTTATCACCTAATTTATATATTTTTTGTTTACATGCTCAATCCATTTATTTTTCACCAATTTTTCATGTGAAATATATATATATATATATATATATATATATATATATATATATATATATATATATATATATATATATATATATATATATATATATATATATATATATATATATATATATATATATATATATATATATATATATATATATATATATATATATATATATATATATATATATATATATATATATATATATATATATATATATATATATATATATATATATATATATATATATATATATATATATATATATATATATATATATATATATATATATATATATATATATATATATATATATATATATATATATATATATATATATATATATATATATATATATATATATATATATATATATATATATATATATATATATATATATATATATATATATATATATATATATATATATATATATATATATATATATATATATATATATATATATATATATATATATATATATATATATATATATATATATATATATATATATATATATATATATATATATATATATATATATATATATATATATATATATATATATATATATATATATATATATATATATATATATATATATATATATATATATATATATATATATATATATATATATATATATATATATATATATATATATATATATATATATATATATATATATATATATATATATATATATATATATATATATATATATATATATATATATATATATATATATATATATATATATATATATATATATATATATATATATATGACATCTCTATTTTTAAATTATGCTTTTTACCGCATATGCTATATAAATATGCAGAAAAAAATGCAGAAATTTTGGGTTTTTTAATTTTATTTTAAGTTAAAAGTGCATAATGATCCATTCATCCAAGATGTGGAGGTGGAGGGTATAAAAATGGGATGTCAAGGAAACTGCTCCCATCAAGGATTAGGGAAAAAAACAGAGCAAGCATTATTACTTTGTCGTGAAACAAAATATTATCCCATGATTTATTAGCAACAAACTTCAACATTTTTATTCATTTTTTTGCTTTCCCTTTTGAACTTTTATGATATATTCAACCTATAAAATACTCACATAACAGGAAAATTGTATTTATCATAGGGAACTTAAATCCTTCCAACATATAATTGGTAAATACTTACACTTGAAATTTCATTTAACAAATTTATGTACCTCAGTTACAAGGATAGCTTCCTGATGTCAATTTTATTGGGAAGCCATATCATACTATATAGTACTCATAACAATAAATCCTATACTAATTCCTATATAATTTACTATTTACTGATACAGACATAAGGTACAAAAGAAAAACAGTAATAAAATGTTACTTGACTCTGCGGATATAATGAGGGGAAGGAGAGGAAGTTCGTGTTATTGACAAAAATGTGACTAGCCAATTGGCTACCGTGCCTGATCCTTTAAGCAAAGAAATCAATTGAACAGAAGAAGCCTCCAATATAACTGCAACTTCCAGTTGATTTTTGTTGCACACTGATGTCTTTCAAGATGTTGCATATTATGCTGAGCTCCTCTTGAAGATTAACTTTTAACCATGATTTTAACATGAGAAACATGTCCACCCTATATTTGCAATGGGCTAAATCAAACAAAAAGAAATAAATTTGGGGTATGTCATTGACCCTAAAACTTGCTTAACAGGAGCTAAGAAAAATCTCCGTTTTAAAATCTTGTCAATTTTACGTAGTTGTAATTTTTGCATATTATCTTGATATGAATGTTTCACGTCTCCAATATTTTAAAAAAATAAAGCAACATTCACCTAGTAGTTGCTTATGCAGTCCCTGTAATCAACCGTTCCCGTTCATCTAACTTCTTGATTTTCACAATGCCAAAGAGAATTTGAAAACCAAAGATCGCACAAAAGAAATATGCTATAGTGGCAGGCACCTGAAAGAGATAAGATGCAATTGATAAATAAAAAAAATACAGCCAGATAATCAATTAATTTATATGATAATCACCACAAGAAAGACAACAGAGATTAGAATAGCATACCCTAATTGAATTGAGAGATAAAATTGTTGCAAGATTTATTAGGCTCCCAGCAGCTACCGCCTGTTAGACAAAAATTTCAGTATGAGTATGCAACTACACATTATCCGGACAGTTTTTCTAGTCCCTATCATATTCAAATACCATACACTTATTAAAAGAATTGATTATCAACAGCATGCATGTGGTTTACAGTATATGCATGCATGGAATATACTTGTGTCTAGAGTCAATATATCCATCATTCACTTATCTCTTGAAAAAATATTTAAAATATAAAATTATTCATATTCGTGTTAAGAAATGGTTCATACTTTTGCAACATGAAAACCAACACAAACATGCAAGGCCACTGCTAATGCCCCCAAATTTATTACAAGTTTGAACTTTGAAGGCCATGCATATAAGCAAGAATAACAAAACATATGAACATTTACAGGTTAACATATCCAACCCAGATCCCAATAATAAATTAAATTTGCACTCCCACTGTTATTAGACAACTTCACTCACATTCAAAATTGTTTTCTGCACAGCCGCAACGCGTTGGAATGCTCTCTCAGATTCCAAAGCTCGGACTCTAAGCTTTAGATCACCTTGCTCCTGTGGAAAATTTAAGTACAGCAAGATGTGATCTAAAATATCAGAAATCCCAAACAAAAGATACAGATCAAATAACTTAAATTAAGTCAACAAAAAATATAATACAGACCAATCTCTCGATAACGCTGGCCAGCTTTTCAACTCTGTCAGCCTGTCTAAATAAGTTGTAAAATGCTTGAGATTGTCTGTCCCATCTCTTTCTCAAGTCCTGTATATGTAGAAGAATTATGAGAAACAAAATCATATTGTTAATAGCAATACATAGACTGATAATCTATGATAGAACAAGTTTAAGATTACCTTTACAATAACTTCAACTCCTGCCTCACGGAATCTCAGCAACTCCAGGGCATAACTGTAAAACTAGGAGGTAGTTTTGTTAGATATGTACGGCCAACTAACTGTAAAACTAGGAGGTAGTTTTGTTAGATATGTACGGCCAACACAAATAATTTGAGAGCTTAAACTTTATTTTATCATAGAACATTAGAGACCTGAAAGGACAAGAAACAGAAACAAGACAGGAAAACAAAACTACACAAGAGCACTAGCTCCCCTGGCCAAAAACGTTCCAAGTACTGGCTGTAACAAAATATAAGCAAAAGAGATCCAAAAAAAAAAAAAAAACATAAGTATTTAGTCCAAAATATAGACCAAAAACATTTGACCTTTTGAATCCCTTTTACTTGTATTTTCTTACAGTATAAGTACATCCAACTAGAATTGAGATCCCTCCAGGGGTCGTGCTGCACGCAATCCTTTAAACCGATCTAATAATTCATACTCATATTACACCAGCGGCCAGTGCAAAAATTCCCTTTGCCATGTGTGGTTGAAAAGAAATAAAAACTTAGTTTAAAGTTCAAAAAATATATACATAAAGACAACACTCACGGTTTGGCAATCTCGGTAATATCAAAACGGGGGTCAAGTCCCTTTCCAATGCCATCCAAAACTGCAGAAACAAGTACACCTGTTACTTTGCGGTCACATGTGTATGCATAGTAGGATATTGAATTCTGCAATATTTACCTGAGAAGGCCCTAACAACAAATGTGAATGTGGCAGGAAACCGGAAGGGCTGGTCTGCTGCAATGGATAATAAATCTTCGCCTGTTAAAAGGTGAGAGCTATAAGTGAAAAGCCTCTGGATTGCACAATGTTATTGAACTAATAGCATGTTTGTTTGTCTCATGGTAAGATCCCAAGCCATGTTTTGACAAAGATTACAAGAGGTCAGCTTTTGCCCAAAGTTTGGGGATCTTCCCATTGAAGGTAAAGATTCCATGAATAATCCTCATCCCACTTATAATTGAGTTATCATTGATTATTATTTATAATCTACCTGTTTACATATCTACTATATCATTTGTTACTATCCCTATTGTTCAAGAACCACTATCCCATTCAATATGGCATTGTGAAGAAGATTTTTCAGTACTTTTAAGATGCTCACCATTGCAAACGCATATATATTTGGTGGTGTATGTAGATGATATTGTTATTATAGGTGATAATAATAAAGAAGGCATCAACGTTCTGAAGCGGCATCTATTTGAACGCAGACAATCATAGACAAGTGTTGCTATTTCTTAGAAAAAGTATGACCACGGTATTCTGGAAGGGACAAAGATGCTACAAACTGGTCGATATTAATATGGATCCTATTGTAAAGCTTCTACTTAATCAGAAGAGATGCTCACCATTGCAAACGCATATATATTTGGTGGTGTATGTAGATGATATTGTTATTATAGGTGATAATAATAAAGAAGGCATCAACATTCTGAAGCGGCATCTATTTGAACGCAGACAATCATAGACAAGTGTTGCTATTTCTTAGAAAAAGTATGAACACGGTATTCTGGAAGGGACAAAGATGCTAACCCACAAACTGGTCGATATTAATATGGATCCTATTGTAAAGCTTCTACTTAATCAGAAGAGTTGTGTTCAGGCCTAGGTACATACCAAAGAGTAGTTGGAAAAATTAAACTTCTTTTGGAAAAGACAAGAGGTTGGGCACGGAGGCTAAAAAGCAAGAAGCAAAAAAAAAAAAAAGCTTAACGAACTAAAGTTTTGTATACAGGTCCAATTAAGGCTTAGGCTTAATGTGTCAACTCCAAAGCTATAGTGATGAAGATTACCCAAGCCTTATATATACCACTTTGGTTTGGTCATATCTCCAATGTGGAATTTTAAATCAACAATCAGTTTAAACCAATAGCCAGTAGCCCAAACAGCCAAACATTATTTTCTCCCCCAAGAGCTCACATATTATCATCATCGTGCCAACTACATAAGCAATAATCAGAGTATGCATACATTCCAGTAATCTAAACCTAAAGACACACATGATTAAACACGATATGTTACCAATAGCAGCCAGACGTTCTTTCTTCTTCATTACTTTTTCTTCTTTGCTTAATGGCTTCTTGAATCCAACTTCAGCTGCTTCCAACTCTTTCTCTCTCCTCTGTGCAGCAAGACGTTCTTCAAAACTAAAGGGAATAAAATTGATGAACTCAGAGTCAAAGATTTGAAGTAAACTACATAACTAATCAATAGTTCAGTAGAGAGAGCGATCCTAAACCAAAATATTAGCAAGGTAAGAAAATATAAACCTAAAATAACATCAAGTAGTCAGAATGTGCAGTAATATTTTCAAAAAAATATCACTTTCTACTATCTTTGGGAAAAATGCTGCCTATTTACAAGGACAAGGCAAGTCATAAACCTTTACGAGGGCTATGGTGGTACTTATATATTACCTATCAATGAAGCCAACAAGCAGTTTGAACATACAACTGGAGCCAGCCCTAGTATCACTATATTCCTCACATGACTAAGTGGTTCAGCATTTACCCCAACTAACGAGCAAAATTTTGTACTTCCAGTTCCAATATTATTTATAGGTTTAAAACAATTTTCTAGTGGTCTTAAGAAGCCTGTGCAGGTACTTAAATCCATCATTTATAACCCATATAGTGATATTCACTTATAGAGATACTATTTGTACTTTAGATGTATTCCCATTAAATTGATTCAATAAACTACCTAGTGAGGAAGAACTGTGCCGTTCGCCTAACAGCGGTCATATCTCCAGTTGGGACAAGAACACCCATCTGAATCATTGCTTCTAGGACCTGCATAAATGCATAAGCTTAGTTTGATAATAAATTTAGATTCAAAAAATGGAATTTCATGCTAGAGTATTGATGACAATATGGGACCCCATCCGGAAAAAACATTATATTTACCTTATCTGGACTCTTCTCATAAACTCCATAAAAAGCTTCGAGTAAACCTTCTCTGATATTTTGACTGATACTGTAAGATGCAACACAATCACAGTTGCAAAGGAAATCATCTCACTGAGCTTAAAATGCTCGACCTCTGAATCTGTATTTCAATTATACAAAAGAGATAAAGAACATACCTTCCCATCATACCAAAATCATAAAAGATCAATCTTCCACCATTGACATCATCGACTGCAATATTTCCAGGATGCTGCATGGACAATGTATATATTATTTACTCACAAGAAGAAGTGTCTAATCCAAATTCCTGAAAGATAGTCATGAAATATGAGAACTCATAAGTCCTTGATATCAACTCCTAGGGAAGCTGAATTCTAGTTCTCCAGAAAATTCCCAAGGCAACAGATGATAATTAATAGGATACAAAACAGCATGCTGCTTGCACCATAAGCAGCAGATGCTTGAATGTTGCAGTATAAGAGCATATTAAAATAATAGTAAACTCAGCACATTAGCTTCGGTACACAACCCTCCAGCTAAATAATTCAAAAGATTCATTAAAAAGAAAGAACTCAAAAACCACTTAGCAATTCTAGAAAGAATAACATACAGGATCGGCATGGAAGAAACCATGCGAGAGAATCTGCTCCAAGTAAGATTCAACAGCATATCTCCCTAGCCTGGAAGATAAGAAAACATTGAATTAATTTGAGTAGATACCAATATCAGTAATTAAGATGTGGACAGAAGTAAAAGGTATCATGCCAATAGTCATTTTGCATACAGAAAACCAGATTCTATTAACCTTTTGCGATCAACACCCAGCTGATCTAAAGCTTGTATTTTGTTTATTTTAATCCCTGGAACATACTCCATTGTCAGAATCTGCATTGGAAAAAATAGTTAAATTATGGATGAAGAATAGTAACAGTGGTAAGAATGTATATTCCTATAGGTTGAACCTGCGGGGTGGTATAATCCCAGTAAATTGAAGGGACTTTCACATAATCCATGTTCTTAAAGTTGCTTGCAAATAGCTCAGCATTGGCAGCTTCCTTGGTGTAATCAATCTCCTGAAAAAATGTTATCCATGTTATGTCAACAAGACCAGATAAAGTTGAGGTTGTGCAGAGAACACATGAAAACATCATACTGGAACAAGAAAAACAATCTGCAACTCAAACCCGACCCCCAACCCCCTGCAGCTATTGCTAAACACCTATAAAAATCATTTTATTTACATACTGTCTAAGTTCTAACCGCTATAAAGTAATCACATCATTTGTGGTTTCAGATAAAAATGAATGGCATGTCAAATACTCAACAAGCATGGTCATTTCTGAAGCATCGTGTTTACACCTACACAACAAAAATCGTAATCATCCATTTATGCCATGAGCTAGCCAGGTAAAATTGCAGGCTACCTTATTCCTTATGTGAAAACAACTCAGCTATAACACTTTTTTGTTTGAATAAAAAGCCCCTTATTCAACATTCACAAATCTTAAGTTCTTCACTATGAATTTGATATAAAAAAAGTCTTTCATGACCCAAAAGAACTTCCTTGGTTTTCCCATATGCCTTTCCAAAAGCAGAGCCAACCTCCTGACACGTTCCATTAACCTGAACCTAACCAAACTCTAACTTAGTAGCGCTCCAAGTCCTACGTAACTTAATTGACCATAACAGATTATACCAATACGATGAAAACTTAGACATGTGATTTTCTTCAGTTGATCTCAAGTAGATGAGTGAAGCAACTTTCTAGAGCATCATCACCTGATATAAAACAGAAGCACACTCATCATAAATAGCAACCCAATCCCTCTTTGCACCATCTGATTTAGGATCAATTTTTTGAAGATATTCAGCAATAACCTGGAGAAACAGAAGAAGACTAATGTATCAATGTTTTCTGAAATTATGTAAGTCTTCAAAGGCTGGAAACCCTATTATTAAGCATTCGTCATGCATGGAAGAAATAGAAAAGGTTTACAATTTAGAAGAAGACTCATCAAATTTTAAGATAAATCAAGCAGAAGGTAATAGAATTATCCAACAGTAATGTTACTGATGCAAAAAGTATCAAGTATAACACTGACCCTTAGGTTTTTAAGATCAATATCAAAAAGACCCTTGAGACCAGGCCTTTGAACCTTGATAACAACTTCCTGTCCCCTTAATTTCGCACGATGAACCTGACCTGCATTGGGAAAAGACAACTCATTTTTCCTTTCTTCCAAGCAAACATTACACCTAAAAACATAGGTACATCTAACCAGATTTCCTGCTTTCATTGTACAATTTCTAACACAAATAAATGAAAAATAAAACATTGATTACCAAGACTTGCAGCAGCTATTGGCTCATAGTCAAACTGATCAAATATGCCAGCTATAGGAGCTCCAAGCTCTTCCTCAACAATAGCCATAGCAGTCTCCGAGGGAAACGGAGGAACTTGATCCTAAACCCAAACAATAGGTAATTAAAACTTAAGGAAATACAACCTTAATATGGTTTTCTCTTCTTGATTAAACCTTTTTAGTTTTTCCATGGTCAAGATGATTTGGTCATTAACTTCCTAAATTCAGTGATACATTCTCTAACACATTAACTTTATCAAATGACACCAAATGCTTCCGAATTAAATATGCAACATTTACAACTCAAGAATACAAGGATAACAAGGCCCCACCAAACCTTCCAGAAGGAATATTTGCTTCCTATCTAATTAATTCCAACATAATAATGTATAAATCAAATCGAAATGATATGAAATGTCACACAGTTTATTAGAAAATATAGGGATTTAATAACAAAAATAGTTTAAAAATTCATATGAAAAGCCTCAGGAATAAATATCCTCTTAGGGATCATGACTGTCTAATGAAATAAGACAAAACGACTAATAAAATGTCAATAATAGAATGCCAAACAACAAATAATAAAATAAATAAAAATCCAAAATCTAGAGAAATTTCCTATTTTTCCTATGAAACCATAAATAATATTGATAACAAATTGAAAACATCAGAAGCAAGTGTATATAGTATCTCAATTCCAGGAAATTGTCTTATAAATACTGTACAGAGCTCCAAATTAACCTGAAGTTCTGACAACTGGTCTACATATTCTTGAGGAAGAATGTCCACTCTTGTGGAGAATTGCTGGCCAATTTTGATAAATGTAGGACCTAATCGGAGAATGCTTTCCTTCAGCCATTTGGCAAGAGTCTTTCGCCTTAAGGTTTTCTTTTCCTCAGTCATTCCTCCTACAAATAATACAGTTGAGCCAAATAACAATGGTTTGCAACATAAACATCTATTATAATCTACGGATGATAAACAACAAACCTTTATAAGAGAACTTCTGACGATTCAACCAAGACTTGAAGATAAAAGTAATAACAAATCCCCAAATTTCCAGTGTTCTCTGTATCGTTGAGTAAGTCTTGAACCTACTCCAACGACCACCAGGCGCAACCGCCACCTGCAAAAACAAAAAACAAAATCACACATTCATCTCACTCATTCAACCTAGCATAAAATTCTTCTTCCCTCTTTTTCAAAATCAGAATCAATTTCATCAAACATCTCCACAAAAATGGCACAGCCACACATACATACCTCAACTTGTGCTTCACCATTTCGTTTGAACCACGCATCTTCTTTTCCAATCTCCTCCAACCTCTTCTTCCTCCCAACTTCCTTCCGCTTCGAGGTTTCAACAAAATCTTCAACAACTTCCGCCGCCACACCATTTCCATTCACATACTTCACTAAACTTCCATTTTCACTACCGTTAACGTAACCTCTAACGGAACCGTTTTTACCGTTTACAACACTTGTTGCAGCTCCGTTTCTACTCCACTTCACATCGCTCGCTCTTTCTTCAATCAATGCACTTTCTTCCTTGACAGCGCGAATTCGAGTGCGAAAAGTAACATTGTATTTGTAGTTCGAAAATGTAGTGAGAGAACGACGACCTTTAGGTGTGATTTGTGGAGCAAGAAAATTGAGTTCGGTTAAGAGTAGAGAAGATGAAGCCATTGATGAGAGAGAGAGAGAGAGAGAGAGAGAGAGTCAGTCAAACTCGAACCCTAGTTTTCATGGGGGTTCGATGGGAAGAAAAGTGTGTGAAAGAGTTGGAGAAGAGAAAGAGTAGAAGTTGAAGTTGAAGACAATAGAAAGAACAAAAGTGGAGATATGAAAGAGGAATGTGACACGTGGCAAGTTAAGATGAGCTATGAAGGTTTTTAGAGGGTTTTGATTGGTGTGTAGATTGCGCGGGTTGTGTTATGAGCCACAAAATGGGTTGCTTTGCATTGCGTGGTAGCTTCATTGTGTTGTGCGGCAATTCATGGCTACAAATCTTAGCTTCAAGAAAGTACAAAATTTGGGTTGACGTGTGTTGTTGATTTTGTTTGAAATTTGTTTCAACGGCTACCAATGCAAGATAGTACATTTTTTATTTTAGGAAGCTCTCTTTTATTATAATTGTGGTCAAAACTCTTTATTGATTGTACAACTCCATTAAGAAAATTTGGACAATCTTGTGTTTTCATTTGGTGTATGTTTTGAAAATGATGTTGAGTTTAAATGGTAAAGGTTTACAAATAAAAATGGCTAGTTAGATATAAAAAATTAAGGTGAAGACTAAGTTTTTTTAATTAAAAAATAGATAATTAATTATAAACAATTGAAAATAATAGTGTTTTTTTATTGCTAAAGAAAAGAAAAGAAAAACTACAATATAAAAAGGGAGAAATGTGCATCATAATATTTATGTCGAAAGAAGTTTCAAGTTTGACCATGAAATCAACATCTTGATTGTCCTATGAGTAGTTTTGAAAATGTATATTTTTTCAATGTTTTGAATCATTGATGCATGTTTACGGTACTTGTTAGAGGAGCTCAATGGAGTTAATATTGTAGGATAATAATGTGTAATGAATTGTGTCATTTAAACTCGTAGTTGGTGTGTCAATGCAACTACCATAAACATTAATAATAGTGTTCGAGAAATCGAGCAAGTCATATTTGATGAAGCACTATTTTATATAGCCCATCTGAGGGTTATTAAAACAAGTATTGAAGGAATCTTTCATGAAACAAACTGTCATATGAAGTCAATACGTGAGAATAGACTCGCTAGAGATGAAAGTTGAGTTTTTATTTGTCGATGTCCACCAGATGCATGCAGCAAAGAGGTTAATTTTGTGGCTGGAACTTTTATTTTTTAGCCAAACGTTTACAAATCACTACAACCAACCTAATTTTACTATTGTATGAGAAACACAACAGCACAACTACCACCATCCACATTTCTCCCAACCACTAATTATAGGACCCACTTATATACATCCTTAAAGTTCCTTTCAAAACACAATCATTTTTAATGTTTCATTTTCCATAAATATCCCTCGCCACAAATTCCCATAATACTTACTAGCCTCTGATGCGTGTGAACTGCAAGTGCACTGTTGTGTCAAGTAGTAAAGAGTATTGATCCCACAGAGAGATATGTGATTAGCAAATCTTACTTCAATCGTGTTTATCTAAAATGATCAAAAATTATTTGTTTGATTGCAGATTGAAATTAAAATTAAGAAATAATAAAAAGCAAGATTGAGATTATGATCATCCTTCAATAATCACACATAAGATTACTCATGTTTAAATTGTGGGAAACAAAAAATATATTAAAATATGTGACATCCACGTTTGTGGCATGCGCGTTTAAACGTGTTTGAGCCACATCTATGTGTAAATCAAGAGTGTACGCTTTGTCACACGACGCCGCATTCTTAATTATTTCTCAACTTAGACCAATTCGCCTTGTCAATGGCGCCTCAAACTCATTTGTTTAGTAATTTGTGTTTGGGTGTTGAAGCATTACCTTTCAATACATGATCGACATTTATTTAGACCTTGCTTTCGCAACTGACATAAACATGGATTGACACTCAAATTCTAAAATAAAGCAACTTATACTCCTCACAATCACAAATAAATAACTTAGTATGGGTTTGTCATGAGAAGAACTCTCATAACCTCATGTTCCTGATGATCTACTCACTCATTGTGAGATGAACAATATCTATAAATAAATTTAAGAACATTGCATGAAAAGTAAGTAAAGGAAAAATAAACAAAGTAATAACAAACTAAAGATGAAGATGAAGGCAAGATTACACTAAGAGTGCTTGAAATTACAAAATATTGCTAATAATTTAAACTAAGAACAACAATTGTTTAGAGTGGTATATTGAAAAGATGATGTTAAAGATGGATCCTTAGGCCCTATTTATACTAATTCAAGGCCTTAGTCACGTATTGTTTGCACTAACTTCATGTTTAATGGACACGTAACACCAATCATAAAGAAAATGGGAGTTACAAAAGCCAAAAGGTCCAAAAAACCAAAAGTTTTGTAATTGTGTAAGGCTTGACACAAGTCGTGCCTGTGGACGCGGGCTGGTTGTGTTCACCTCTGGCTCCTTCTATGGGTGTGCCTCCAATGGGGGAACACAGTCGGTGTCATGAGACGGGGCCTGGCCGTGTAGGACTCGGGAAATTTGTACTATAAATGCTCATTTTATGCAATCTTTGATATTTTTCGTCCTAATTCACTCCACTGACTTCTTATTCCCTGAAAACAAACATAAGAGACAAAAAATGTGTAAAAACAAACTAGAATACTTAAAACTCACATGAAATTAAAGGGAAAACAAGCTAGAAATATGATACATTTATTGTCTATCAAATAGCCCCAAACTTGAATTGTTGTTTGTCCTCAAGCAACAAGCTTTCTTAGAAAGAATTAGGATCAAGCGGTATTTGGTTCTTCAAAATCTCAAAAAGATGAAAGCTTTGTTATTACTCATAAGTGGTATGTCACTCCGATCGGCTAAGACTTTAGTTCCCCCATACTCACCAACACTAAAGGCATTACCGGAACACAAAACCATAAAACAGATACAGTCAATAGTTTCCTACTATAGTCACCTCTCTAACTATGTTTTAGACTTAAGTATCTACTTTGATTTTTTCCTTCCTTTTTGTTAGACAATCAAATTAATTCATCTTTAGTATAATGATAATCATCAAATGTATGAGATCGACCGAGAGACATAATTGTTTTTGCAGATGAAATTTTTGCACACTTTTGTGTGTTTATTATGGTCGGATGTTAGGGTTTGGCCACCGTTAGGCTGAATAGTCGGGTGAGGAGAGTGCAATTGCCTTTTACTGCCATTTTTTAAGGTTCAAGAAACACAATAAATGGGGGTTTGAATTAGGTTTCAGATATGACAATGTTTTGCAAATTAATGGCAAAAAACAACAATGAAAGAAATACTCGGGATTTTTATATCGATTCACTATTAACTAAGATACTTAGTCCACTCGTCAGAGTGATTTTGCTTTCTCATAAGGACTTAATCCAATAACCAAACTGATTATAAATGCAAATACCAATTGTCAATGACTTCTCAAGGCTACAGACTAAACTTAGTCTCTCAAGAAATTTAACCGAAGTTCAAATGCAAATATTGTGTGTTTACAATATTGCTTATAAACAAGCAGATACGCAAAAATATATTTCAGAGAATACACTTATGAAAATATACAAAAAAAAATTCTAAGTGTAGTTAGTCTTGCAATTTTTGTTTCTCTTATTGTTCACCTTCGTGTTTCTTCAAAATTTATTGTCCTCTTTAAATAGATGATGAATAGTACCGTTGGAGGATGGAATTGGAAACTTCTTCAATTTTACAACTGTAACTGTGATATTTAGATAGAATTATAGTGTTGACAAGGGTACCTTCATGGTTCGACAAGAGTTATGTATGTTGTATTCGAAGTCTGTTTGAGCATAATGTCGAAATATATTAACTTATAATTTAAGTTAGTATCTCAAATTGGACTTTGCTTCTAAGTCCAATTGTTAAGTTAAATTGTATCCTAAGTTATCTTAATAGTCTATAAATAGACTAGTTCTCTCAGGTTATTGATAGAGGTTAATTGTTGGTATTCACTTGTAATATTTGAACCTTATTGAGTAAGTGAATAGTAAAACAGTTTTAACCAATTCTTATTCTTCTTCTTCCTTCTTATCTATCTTTTGGAAAACCTAATAGGGTATCTTGTGTTTTTACAAGAAACTCAATCTTTTATCATATTTTGGTTTGTTCTTGATGACATCAATTCACAACAAACTTGGGCGGTGGGCGTAGGCAAGAAGATGTCGTCAACAAAGTATGAGATTAAGAAATTCATCGGTGTGAATGATTTCAGTTTGTGGCGCTTGAAGATGCAAGTCTTTCTTGTTCAACAGGGTTTGTTAGAAGCGTTGAAAGGATCAGAGAAGATGGATGTTGCCTTATCGAAGAAGAAGAAGACAACGATGATCGAAAAAGCCTACAATGCCATTATGTTGAGCCTTGGTAATAAGGTTCTCCTTGTATTTAAAAGGAGAAAACTGCAGCTGATGTGTGGATGAAACTTAAAGGTTTCTATATGAAGAAATCTTTGGTTAATCGTCAATACCTAAAGCGAGCTTTGTATTCGTTCAAGATGAGTGAAGACAAAGCATTGGCTGAGCAGCTGGATATGTTCAACAAGTTAATTCTTGATCTTGAAAATATTGAGGTCAAGATTGATGATGAAGATCAAGTGTTGTTGTTGCTGTGTTTTTTACCTAAGTCACATTCTCACTTCAAAGAAATTCTCTTGTATGTAAGAAAGTTGTTGACCTTTGAAGATGTTCAATTTGCCTTGTACTCTAAGGATTTGAACAAATGAAAGGAGCATAAGCCATCTTTTGTTGGTGAAGGTTTGTCCATTAAGGGGAAATTCTTGAAGAAAGGTGGTAGGTTTGAGAAGAAGAATGGTAGAGTTCTACATAATTCTTATGGTGGTAATGCTCCTACTATTAAGTGTTATCATTGTAAGAAGGAGGGTCATACAAGAAAACTAGGCCCTGATCGACTGAACAATCATGGTGGAAAGGATAATGGTAATGCAATCATTATACAAGATGGTTATTA